GATTGTGGCACGAAGGAGCTGCTGTACAGTGAGGAATGGCTTGAGAAGCAAAAAGACGAGTTTTCAAAGGGGAAGAGTAGAGTGTGATCTGTTACAAGTTCAAATTGGTAAGTTGAATTGCATGCATAGAATGAAATCATGCTAACCGATCAACAAACGAATTTGTGCAACCAAAAAGCACGAAACAAGGGAAGGATGTATAGAGAAAAATGTTAGAAACGCAAGGCACAGTAAGAAGAGTAGCCCACGGGATGAAGGCCAATGAGTCTGCTGTTGTATTCGTGGAGCAATTCTCGATGCATCGTGCTACCAGAAGCAGCAAGGCATTGACTGCACCGCCCCGCCAGCTTGCTGCCTGCGATGGCGGAGAAGGGTATGGTCAATGTTACTATCGATATCAAGATCGAGTATGCTATTGCATGAAGCAGACTTTGTATAACAGGGATAATCGACAGAAGATTCAATTGATCATAAAGAATCGATGATATCAGCCACCGTTGAAGAAGTGGATCAGCAGATGCTGCTTCGCAGGCGCGCAGACCTGGGGAGATTATGCCAGGAATAAATTGTGGTGCGAGACGATGATGCAAGGGCAAGTTATTTGCCCGAATGGAGGGTCTTTGAGGATGCAGCGAAGTGGATGAAGCCCGCTGCGGCATGGGCGTGCTAATTAAAGTAAAGTGAAGGGCGGCGAAACTCCACCATAGAGGCAGGCACTGGACATAGTGAGCCAGTGAGTAAGGTCAAATCCTCGAGACCTAGAACATTCATTGATCAGGCGTCAATCCCGCTTCGTTACTCTTTCCGCCCCAAGGCGGAGGGAATCGGGCACGAATGGGAGGAATGGCTAGTAGCATTAGCAGCATCATACTCGAAAGTAGTCCAATTGCCATTCCCATATTATTGATAAACTGGCAAAGAGACAAAGTGGCATGTTGGCTGCTCCCGTCCCCCCCAAAAAAGACCAAGCCATGAGGCGGGAGGACAGCGCATCAACTAGTCCGATACGTGTCAGAGCCCAAGTGCTGAGTTTCCCTGCCTTGCAGCTCCTGGCCCAACCGGGGCGATGAGATAGGATTAGTACGGTGGATCGCCTGTCGCCAGCCTCTCTCTCGGCAGCAAGAGTAACACATGGGCTTTGAAGCCAATTGCAGCCGGGAGAAATCGACCGGAGCCAGACTATCGTAGTGAAATTCTCATTGTGCCCGAGCAAACCGCCACTGAGGACAGTTGCTCCGACTAGTAGAACGGAAAACGTGGGAGTTCAGCGCCCGCGTGCTTTTTAGCGGGGAGGGGGATGATGGCGGCCGGAATGACGACAGTCGGCAGCTGTCTGTCAATCGTGGCATTAGGGTCTTCCGTGCATCTTAAGTTGGGGCTGTGAGGGCACAATTTCACCACCAAGCAAACAGATGAGAAGAAGTTCGCCTCTTTGATGTAGCCAGAGGTGTGGTTATGGTTGAAAGGAAAGGATGATCATTGATGATCATGATGTTACCCCACTGGCAGATCCGCCACCGCCTTGCTGACCGCTACAAGCGCTATCGCTTCTTGCCATCAGCCATGGTATCTTCCGGTTGTCAAGTAAATACAAATATTGAATTAGTCAAATAGCATATGTGGTATGTACATGCACCATAATTCGTTCAAATGAGCCAAAGATCAGAAACGACACCCAAGGGCCGTAACCTCGTATAATCTCTAGGTACTCATCGAGTGAAGAGCCGCTCAATCCCGTCAATTTATGTCGTCAATGTCGTCGCTTTTCAGTAGGCCAACGAAGGCCCTCGTCACGAATGTCTTCCAAACACGGTTCTTCTTCTTTTTCTTCTCCGCTTCGATGTCCTGCTCATCGTAATCATTCTTTGCGTCGAGATCATCCAAGTCGGCTTCATCCACATATTCGAGAGAAGACGACTGGCCCTTGCGGGCTTCCCGCTTGGCGATTCGTGAAGCAAGTTTGAAGAAACTGCGTACAGTGAGGTCATCCATCTTATAGACCCTATCGTCTCGAGTGTTGTACTCCACTTCATAAGCGAATACATCGTCGGGCTTCGAACCAGTAACCTCTTCTGCTTCATCGCCTGTTGCCCCGCGACTTGCCAGCTGACTATTGATTCTAGTTAAGTTCGCAAAGTATTGAGTGTAGCCGAGCCAAGAAAGCGCTTGATTTGAGTACGCCGGTCCCGGAGGTGCGGATTTGGACGGAGGGCCTGGAACTTTGAAGTGGGGCTTCTTGCTTTGCTGTGCCTGTGTCTCAGACAACGGGCTGTCATCCTGCTTTCCCGGAAAAACGCTATCCAGGCTGCTGTGGGAAGGTGTATTGGCCCAAGTGGCTGCATGTTCCAATCCAGTGATGTTATACTCCACAACTCGCAGGGTCGGGAAATAGTTCGGTACTACGCTGGGAGAAACCAACGAGACACTGTATCGTTCTGCAAAGGGTCCGCCGATTTTTTTCAAGAAGCGCTTTTTCTGCTTCTTCTTGGACCCTCGGACCGATGCGTCATCGTCGTCGAACCAAGCGTCCATCGAAAAGCTTTTCGACGTGCCCGCTGGAACAGACGGCAACTTCGACCAGTCTTTCCTGAGATTAGAGAGGTAATCGGAACGGGATTTCGTAGACAGCTCATCTGGGTCTCCAGCGCCGCCAAGATACGCGAAAGACTTGTCGACATCGACGATATCCACCTTGTGACTATCCTGAAGCATGAAATGGTCGAGATTCATGTGTCCATAGACACTGCCCACCACAACGTCCCGGAACTGGTGAAGCCACAAGGTATACTTCTGCCAGCAGGAATCATCCCAGTTCCGCTTGGAGCCAGCCCGAGCAGGAGGAATGTGTCCCATGAGAATAGCCTTCATGTGCCTCCCGCGCAACATTTCAAGCTGCACCCGCAGCCATTCCATGTGCTCGTAACCTGGTTCGGATCGCGCAGCGCAGCCATCGACGGCCGAATTCGAGTCGAAGAAGTACATTGTGTTCAAGCTGACCACAGCCAGCTTCTCGGGAATCACCTCGGAAATAAACCAGCCACCTTCGACAAAGCTGTGAAGCTGATGCTCGGGTATGAAATTGGACCAGATCTCTCTGTATTGCTTTGTCCATCGATTGGGGCCGGCCTTGAAGATGTTGTGAGGCATGATGTCGTTGTTGCCGAAGGTGGGAATAATCGGAATCGAGATACCTTTCACGGACCGTTCATCCTTGAAAGTCTCCACGAGCTTCTTCGCCACCAGCTTATTCAAGTCGAGCACCTCCTCTGGTTCCCGGGGATTCTTCTCGTCGTTGTCGTGGCGAGCTGAGTCTCCAGTCCAAATAACAAAATCCACCTTGCCCTTGAGGTTTTTCTCGATCCAGCGGAATGTTTCGTTGATCAAAGTGATAGGTGAGTCGCATTCGGTTCCTTCTGCTCCATAGTATCCAGCCGAGCCGTCTCCTCGATGACAGGCCCTGTCGGGTGACGCTCCGGATTCATAATATGAATCGGGATGTAAGTCTATTCTCAGTCAGAACCGCGCTCTCTTGCCTGGTGTCTTGAAGGTTCGGACAAACCGGTTATGTGCAAGAAGCGGCCGGAAAGGCCTCTAGAGGTTGGGTCGACATCGTCCTGCAGCTCGAGCTGAGGCGCATGCAAGAGCCCAGAGTTGCCTAGCGGTTGTTGATCGGAGAGCGGAAAGGCGCACGCGCACGTCGCAAGCAAGAAGAGCGCCGGAAGCAGTTGTGACGGAATCATTGGGAGAGAATGAGCTGGAAGGAGGAACGAAAGCCCCGACGATGCGGGTAACCGGTCTCAACCTCGGTCAGTAAGAATAAACATTAAGAGATAGAGCTAAGAGAGGTTGTGGATATAGGCGGAGGAGTGGTGAACAAAAAAGATAGAGCGTGAGCCTGTAATGATGGTAGCAATGATAATACCTAGATTGAAAGAAATTGAGATTTCGACTTGATCGATCGCCCGTTAGGCTAAGCTGGAGACTAACGTCACGTCACTCCGTCCACTGAAAACCACCAAAGAGCCCAACCGGGGAAAGCGTCAGGTAAACCTCGGATAGCCTCAGGCCGGGACCCACTCCTTTCGACTGCTGCTGCTGCTGCTGCTGCAAAAAAAAAAAAAAAAAACCATCAACAGCATCGCGACTGTGTACGCTGGTCTGCACATTATAAATATGTCTCTTTTCAACTCATTATCATATGAGGGATTACCGTTCGCTAGGTAGATCACCACCACCACCGCTAACGGACCTAGTAGTGGCTATAGAACCTCGAACTAAGTATGCGCGGATGCATTTACTTCAAGCTGGAGGCGTGTGACCCTTGCGGAATGTACCCTAATGTAAGGTACCTGTAGCCTGTGTGATTCCCTGATCCGACCACGTGCCTGCGTCCTCAAAGGCGATTGTAGGACTGTGCATGTTTTGGTGTTCGTAGTGCGGCTCTTATCGGTTTACAAGGTCCTCATCAGACGCAATATCTGAGGTGGTGGTCAAGTGCACAAGTCAAGGGTGCAACTTGATAGGCCATCCTAATCATCATGGATCCAGACTAGGACTACCGCCATCAATATGTGTGTCTGTGGAGAATAGTGTGACAAGTCACTGTTTCAGCAAGCCGCTGCCTTTTTCTTGCCTGCGCAGAGGCGGAGCGAGCATATTTCGAATGCCAGAACGGAGTAAACAAAAGCACATAGTGAGGTTTTCCAAGCGATAACCACTAACACTGATGGAGGTAGTCGTGAGTCGTGACACACCAACGGAGATCAGTTTAGTCAAGCTAATCATCCGATCAATCAGAGCCAAGTAAACATTACCTTACCTACCTACTAGTAGTCTATAGCTGCATCGTGGATGAGCCACTCTGAAGGGCGATCTCCCCCTCCAGCGAGTGCGGGGCACTGCTCACTCCGAGCTTCCGCCGCGCAGCACCGACGCTCATCTACAACCTCCCCTCCCATTTCCAATTTACTCTCATCAAGTGATAAAACATCCAATACACCATGCCCGGCTACCCTACCCTCCAACCCGCCTTTACGATCCAGGTGATTCCCATCCCCCAAACACAGCCCTTCTACCAACACGATCTAAACAACGTCTCACGCGACAGGTCGTCATTGATGCGCCACTAGGCGTCGGTAAGCGATCTTCCCCTCGTCACGAAGCCAGCCTAAAACAAAGCTAATCGTGTCAAAAGGCAGTGCCTCCCGGCAGAACAGCCTTCAGGTCGTGGTAAGCAGCTCCACTGGCTTCTCGTGTCAGAGGGATCGGGCGTCGTGCTAAACGCTGGACACAATCATGACACCAGCCGATGACCGGCGGCACCATCAAGAGCGAACCTGGCTTCTCCCCCGCTCTCGATGCTGAGTTTGTCGGTGTCGGGAACGACTACATCCACGCGGATGCTGACGGCAAGCACTTGCGTCTGAACGCCCACGCGGTTGCTAAGTATGTGGCTGCCGCCCTCCCTGACCGTGACACAGCCGTTGTGTGAACCATACTGACCCTGACATCAGACCTAAGGATGACGCCGATGTAGGTAGCTTTGCTGTCCAAGAGAGTAGGTTGAAAGTGGGAATCTGACAAGCTACCATTGTCAAACTAGCTCATCTACCTGAATTACACCGGTGTTGTTACGCTGGCCCCGGAGGTCCAGGCTGTCTTTGCGGGCACCGCTGAGGATGGGTCGACGCCTTTTGGCAATGCTTGTGAGTTTATACCGATCTCTCAAGGGTATGGCGATCACTGATCTTAGCATATTACAGTCACCCATTTCACTTTCGAGGTATGTTTTGTTGTTGAGAAGGGCTACAGGATCGTCACCCTGACACAGATGAACAGACGGGCAGCGCGCGCTACAAGGACCTTGAAACCCGCGTCTTCGTCGCCCAGGGACGGTTCAACATCGAGAAGGGCAAGCCGCCTGTGGTCGAGTACCGGGTCAGCCAGGTCGTCCAGGGATAGAAAAATTCCGACTCCCATCCCTAGCTGTTCATGCAATCATGCACACAGTTTGAGTAGCTTCACAAAAGTGAATATGACATTCTCCCTGAATAGACAACAGTCGTCAAACCTCATAATCCATAAGATACATCCAACCTAGTCAAGATAGCACGATACAATAATGCCCAGTCCAGCTTATATAGCCCCCATCCCGGAGAATACCAGGCAGGAACCTAACCCAACCCCCCAAGCAAAGGCCTCCTCTCATCATCACCACCACCGGGCAACTCACCATCCTCATCCCCCAACCCAGACAAACCACCACCACCCCTCCTCGCCCAGGAAAAACCCAACCGCCGCCTCAACCCCCCCAAGCCACCACCACTACCCCAATCAGCACCCTGATCCTCACCACCAGCCTCACCACCCCCCAAACCACAAGCCTTCCTCTCCTTCAACCACCCAACCACCCTCTTCCCCGCCCACGCCAGAAACACCACCAGCCCAAACGCCGCCAACGTCCCTAGCACCCCCCCGACGCCCGCGAGGAACGTAATGGTGCTAACATGACACCCGAACGGCAGCGCCCTCAGCTCCCACCGCTCCTTGGCCCCCAGCGGACAGATTTCGGAAGACCCGAAGGGGGCCAGAATCGGCACCTTGGCGGGATTGGGCACGCAGGCTGAGGACTTTTCATGTGTGTTAGTGATCCGCCGAACGGCGCCAGGCAGAACCCGGAAGATGGATGGTGTAGCCAAGCATATGCACAGCACCGTACAGCACCGTACCGAGTGGCGAGTGGCACAAAAGAATAGAACTTACAATAGCGCACCAGCCACAGGGGAGATCGCCCTGTAGGCAGTAGTCACATGACTGGCGGCGCCAGCATAGATAGAAGAGATGGTCGTCGGGGATATCGAGGGGGTGGGGTTGATGGGTGGTTGAGTTGGTGGCCATAGCTATGGCCAATGGGGACGGCATTTGAAAATGTCTCAGGTTTTATTTGGATGGAGAAATGGAGGGAGGGAGGGAGGGAGGGTCGTGTGAGCTTTAGGTGGGCGTGGATTTGATAACATCGGGAGATACGGAGGAGAGTAGAGGTGTGTCACCGGGTAGGTTTTTTATGGAGGTGTTTATTTTGGGAGGGTTGGTCGTGCGGGGTTTCCCATACCACCAGTCGACCCCTGGTTGTGTTTGTTAGCAACAAAAGTGCGGGTGAGGTTTAGGGAACGTATTGTGTGAAATTTGGGGCAATTCTGTAGCTGCTTTGGGGCTTGGTGGTGTTTTCGGTGGTGGGTTAGGTTGGGGCTGCTGTCTAATGGCGTCGGGGTTTTCTTGTTTATTGTTGTTCTAGGAGGGTGTCTGCTAATCTGGATCTATAAAATAAGTTCCTATACCTCAGAGCAAAAGTATCATCCAGATGATCTATTTTGACGGAGGGAAAAGTGATATGGAAATAACATGGTAGAAGCCCGGCGCTCCTGCAGGAAATGCTATGATAAGACATCCTTCGAAGAATCCGATCGTAAATACATCGCATTAAACCACACGCTTAACCTATATACCGCATACGGTTGTTAGATGGACCTCTTTGACCAGACAAACAGGCTTGGACCTACCTCGAAGAATCTCTTCAACCACCACACCTGAAAGACACCCTCGCCGATCAGCACAGCTAGCTGGAAGATACTCCACCACTTCACCCGGGCGTTGGTGCTCTCAGCGGTGTTCCGGTGTACCCGTTCTCTCACGACAATGTACGACTGCTCATCCTTGACTTGAGCCAGGGCCTCGGACAGTTTGCGGACTAGCATAGGAAATTAGCTCACGGGGGTTCCTGTTCCTCCGATGGACGAGTGCGGGATGTATTCCTCCTACCTTCTGTCTCCAGAGGGTCCTGCGCCATTTCGTGCTCCGGGACGTACACGATGCCATGGACGTTGAAAGACACCTCCTTGGAGTTGGACGACCATCCCTCGTTGCTGAAGCAGTAAACGTATTTTCCGTCCGCGTGGGCGTTGAACGAGTAGTCCTCCGACGAGATGGCGTGCTTGTAGTACTGGCGGTTGTTCAGGGGGTCCTCGACCTAAAGGTGACAAAAGAGTATATCAGCATTGGCTCCGAAGGATCAAGTCCACCACAGAAACTGCGGGCATTCCCAGGCCTGTTCAAAACAGTCCGCTGTCCCTCTCGTCCCCGACGGCGGAAGACCGGCCGTCGTGCCCCGAAGTCACGAAGAGTAAAAGCCATACCCAGAAATCGATCTCCAGGTTGCCACTGCCACCAAACTCCCGGTCGCCGACCTGAAACGTGACCGTCATCTTATCGTCCTTGTGCAGCGACTCGTGGAAGCATTCTCGGGAGTGAGCCTTGAGCTGGATGTTGTGTGCAGTCACGGCGCTGATCCACCCCAGCGCGGTGATCAACAGGGTCGTCGCAGAGAAGCGCATGGTGGGCGATTTGATCTTGTCCTTTTCCGCCTGGATTGAAAAGGTCCGAGGTGTAGGTATTCAAGCCCCGAGAGAGAATCGTGGGTTGTTTGTGGAGGGTTGGGCCCGAGACGGTGTCGTCGTTGTTGGACTCCGGGACGCGCAAGGTGGTCTCTGTGCTGTGCTGGGAATTCGAGACGCTCGGACCACCTCTCAATCCAGCCGGCGCTAGTCCCCTGGAGGTATTCTAGAACTATACACACATAACCTTAAGCAAGCTCTCTATGTACTCTACCGAATCGATTGACGTTCCTAACTGTCAGAGTAGTTTTATTGATGAGTTCGAGCTTCTACGAATACACTTCCTGAGATCTCCGATACTGCGCCACATACAGGAGCTACTTCATACGGTCAAACAAAATGCTATGCATGTTTTAGGTGAAGACGAATGAACGAAATGGATGATTGAACACAATGATAAGACATCGCAGATACTTAACGAAGTGCCTCGGTATAGCAGGAGCTTACTACATGATCAAAGATGCGGTGTAGATGTGAGGCTGAACCGGCCTTCATAAAAGCCTCTCAAATCCTCTTGAGTTTCTTCGCGCGTGGATACTCTGGACCTGAAATCCAGGTGTTGAGAACTTGTCCCCGAGTACGACTGTACCTTTGACCATGCCTCTCTATATGATAGATAGAGAGCTTCACCGGTTTCCGCCCTGGTATCTCTTGCTGGGTAGACTCGATGTCGAGTCAATGACCCGCGGTCGTCGAGTGGTGAGATAGATGAAAAGCTCTGTTTCCAGGCTATTCTTCCTGTATGTTTCCTAGCAGCTTACTTTGAGTTTTGGAATAGAGACAGAGACGCAATGCTGGGCGAGGAGGGCGAATTCGACCTCTCGGAGACGGACGTCGTAAGTTGGGAGCTCATTGACTCATATGGGACCTCAGATACAGCAAGCTTATTCCCTGACTCCTAGTTCCTAGAGAACCCCGTCAACCAGAGCCAGGGGACCCGCCTCCTCGAGGACCTCAAGGACCTCCGGGGCCTCCAGGGCCTCCAAGACCCCCAGCAGGACCCCTAGGACTTCAGATTCTGATAAACATAAGGGATCTAGAAGTCGTTATAGTGGCCTAGAACCCTATGAGCATCGAGAGACTCGTACATTTCTGGGACCTCGTGATAATCAAGAGCCCACCGGAAATCAAGGGATTATTGGAAATCAGTGGCAGCCCCTTGGAAATCAAGAGCTTCCCATCAGAGATCAGTGGCTCGGACGTGTCAGACCTGGCGGGTTTCATGTCTGTCATGGCTTTCATGGTCACAGCTTGAGAGAACATCTGAGAGAGATCTAGTACTCTCAAGACCAGCTGCTCCCGACTCTGATTCTGGAGCATAACGATGACTTTCTGCAATCACCAAGAATTCTCAATAGTCAATGTCAACGGTCAACAGCAACCAGCTATGGTCGGTATCTGTGTGTCAAGGAACTTCATTCCATTGAATTGATACGTAACGGGGTGGTATGAAATTCAGTTCCATTTGAATGTCGGAGGATACCCCGACACTATTGCTCTGAATAAGCGCGGTCAGTCATCAAAGGCAGCCCACCGGTCTCGCGCCATCACCTTCGAATCAACGACCTGCAACGCTAGTCGGCGACGGAAGTTGCCGGAGCTGGAGCCGACAAACATAGTATTTTTGCGGGATTTCTTTTTGAGGTCCAGTTCGGCTTTCCGAAATGTCTCGACTATCCAGATAGTGTCCCTCCAAGGTTCGCGCCAATGTGCGTATGCGTTCGAAGTGGTTGTCGTGACATCACTTGAGAGTGGAATGACCCTCTCTGCATTGTGGTTGAGCCAATGTTGAAGCACAATGTTCTCGGTTGTCCACGTTCTCGGCCCTCCGGTAAGACAAAGACTCACCAGACGATCCATCCGACTAACATCCGACGGGAACAATTGGTAGTATTGGTTGAATGAGAATTCATAAAATGGCCGTGTCATACTTTGAGGTGCCTCAATATCAGTGCCCAATTGAATCAACCTAGTTGAATGGGCAGAAATTGTATTTGACCATCAAATCAGAATTCTGATGGGTGTGAACGATTGTTGTTTTAGGGGTGGGATGAAATTGAGTCAATTAGCCTGATTGCATCACAGTGAAGTGGAAGAGACTGGTTCAGTCGTCTACATCCCTCAAAGGGTTCAGTTCCAAGTCTAGGCCCTGGCGTTTGGTGGCGGATCGGCGGAGGCTACAGCCGACAGGACCCCAATTTAAAAATCGAGCGCAAGGGCGTCCAGGGATTAACGGGCGCTTGGCGGCTTTGAGTAAGGCTTGCGGAGTCCCCGAAGCAGGAAGCGGACCCTGTTCATCCTCCTCCAGACTCCCCGGGAAATCCCCCAAAGTGCAAAGATCCACCCGATAGTTTTCCTTCCCTTCTGGCCGTCGAATGGATGCCACTTCCACTCTCATTACACAACGCACTGTGGGTTTCCGACAGGACCGATCTTTTCCTACTTATTGGTAGTAGCAGACTGATCCTCATCCCTTATTGGAGGTTTACCACAATGTGAATGCATGAATTTGCCTCACACCAACCAGCTGGAGGGTCCACGGTTGTTTGCTCTCATCACACTGACGGATCCATTTATTCATCCCACATTGAATCGCTCCACTGCACTGTCTGTTCCCTGACGTACTGCACAGTGCTTTGTGTTCTTATAATAACTCGGTCAATCCCTCCCCCTTTGATCCTTCCCCCTCCCCAAGTTGCTACTATTTGGGTGTGTGTGTGTGTGTGTGTGCATTTTCACCTGGCGCTCATTCTTTTTATAGACGCCCTCCTTTCTTTCTTGTCTTGCATCCTTGGCAGCAAAAGTTGAAAAAAAAGGATACTTCCTGTTCTTCCGCACTTCGTCCTGACATTCTGCTCTTCAATCGCTCGTCATTTCGCCGTCCATAGAAATCAATCATCCTACCGTTCTATTTAAGAATGCGTATCATTAGCTTGCTGCCTGCCTTGCTGGCCACCATCCCCGCTGTTACTGCGGCCGGCACTCTGGGGCTTGCTCTTGGCAACAAGAACGCAGACGGCAGCTGCAAGGCCACCGGTGACTACGAGGCCGATTTCGAGGCACTCAAGAGTGTGACTAAAATCGTCCGTACCTATTCTGCCAGTGACTGCAACACCGCTCAGAACATCATTCCTGCCGCCAAAAACAAGGGATTCAAGGTCGTCTTGGGTATCTGGTACGTGCTCACTTGTGTGACCGTCAAAGGATTTGTATCAGCGGGTCGCTAACCCATACATTCGACTAGGGCCGACTACACTGATTCCTTCAACAACGACTTCAATGCTCTGAAACAGTCTGTGCCCGGCAATGAAAACGTTGTCAGCGCAATCACTGTCGGCTCTGAAGTCCTTTACCGCAAGAGTCTTACGGCTCAACAGCTTTTGAGCCTGATTCAACAAGTGCAGAACCAGTTCCCCAAGGTAGCCGTGGGCACCGTGGATAGCTGGAACAAGTTCGCCGATGGCACCGCTGATCCCATCATCCAGGCTGGGGTTAGATACCTGTAAGCAGCACCCCCTGCTCATCAATGCTGGGAGTATGCTACTGAGACTGACCCGTGTTGCTAGCTTGGCCAATGGGTTTGCTTACTGGCAGGATGTTTCTCTCGCCAATGCCAAACAAGTGTATTTCGATGATGTTTACGCTGCTAAGGAGCGTGTGAAGCAGATCGCTGGCTCAAATGCTAACAACATCTACTTCGGGAACGGCGAGACTGGCTGGCCGACTGGTAAGTTATTCGTCTATTCAACTCTTTGAGTTTCGTTCGCTAATAGGTCGTAGATGGAGGATCAAACTATGGCAAAAACTCCGTCGCTGGTACCAAGAATGCTGAGCAGTATTATCAGACCTCGGTTTGTGCTATGCTAGCCTCCAACATTGACGTGTTCTACTTTGAGGCCTTCGACGAGTCTTGGAAGCCTAACAGTGTTGGAGACAACGGCCAGTCAATGGATGAGAAGCACTGGGGTCTCTTTACTGCCGATCGTAAGCCCAAGTTCAACCTGAACTGTCCGAACTAGACGCCTGAAGGCCTCGAGGTTGTGCGATGAGGGGCCCGACTCCGTTTCTTTGTTCTTGTTTCTTTGTCCCATCACCTGTAACATAGGTCTCACATGTTTTATAATTCGCTCTGTCAATCGTCGAAAGCACGGGCCTCAGGTAAGGACCAGACCTTGACGCGGGCTTTGTCCCCGCGAGGTGGTGCTCATCCGACCCGTGACTCTTAAGCTTTCCGCGAGAGACGTAACTTCAATGCAGGAACAAATCTTATTTTGAGATTTGAGATTGATCATTTGGAATCTATGATCTCTGCTACCAGGAGGACTAATCAAGATTAATAAAGCAACCTTGGTTACTTTTGAGGGTACCTTCATAGCGAAGTCAACTATGGTTGTTGAAGAAACAGCGTCGATTTGATTGCCGGTACTTGGCTGTTTCTGGGGAGGCGGGGAATCCTAGCAACTGGAAGACTGCCGGGCATCAATCAGGACTGCAAGCAACGGAAGTCACGAGCAGCCGATGAACCGTGGTTCGCAACGGACGGTGGTAGGCTGGTAGCGCAGCTTTACCCCTGAGTTCCCCTCTCGAACCGCGGGAGAAACCAGCACGGTTATGTTTACTATGGGGAATCTCTAGGCTATTCGGTCCTGGCAGAGGAGCCAGCACATTGAAATGCCTACAATACCTACAATACCTACAGCTTAGGATAAGACTGACGGCCGCGCTCTGATCGCGTAGGCATGCGGGTCTAGCAGCTACTAGATATGCCATGCCACCCTACTGGAACATGCTTGGAGGCAGACACCAATCTCAATCATGCCCAGCCTTGCAAGTTCTGCAGTCACTGAGTGATTAGTTTATCCTTACTGAGGGAATAACTGAAGGAAACAATTAATCAAGTACCAAGGCCACACCACCACCACCACGTCAATGGCGGTCAAACACATCTACCTACCTCACTATGAAAGAAGTAAGTGGGTGTGAGTTGGCCGACTATTCAATGCTAAGGAAGAGAACTAAACCAGAAGAAGACAGAAGGCCACCACTAGAAAAGAGCTTCTGCTCTGATGGTCCGAGGTTGAGTTTACCGTACCTTACCAGTTACTACTACTCCGTTACTATGTGCATACTAGTACAGATGAAGGTAAATCACTTCCAGTCCGCCGCCATCTGAACCACCTTCCCTCTTCCCTCCGGCTTCACGCCAATCGTGTGTTTTTTTCCCGCCTCATCCTCATTTTCTTTTCGTTTCCTCCCAACCTCAATTTCAACCGTCCTTCCTGCGTATGCGCCATGTCCCCGTCAATCGCATACCTGAGGTTATCTCTGTAATTTGTTGTCCGCTGCCTCTCTTTTTCTAGCATCCCTCTTTCCCCCCCACCTCCCGTTCCATTGGATGTCTGGATTGGGTCATTCGTCCATTGTCGGAGCCCACCGCCCCTGAAGATAATAATTGTTGCCATTCACTCGCGCCAACAACAACACTGACAACACCGGCGACAAAACAAACAACACTCACCACCACCACCATAATTCCCAGAGGTACGATCTCACACAAAGTCAATCTTCCTCCCTCCTGTGTTGATCACAGGTTTTCTGTGAGGTAGTGCCAGTGTTCGAGCTTGCTTTCCATGCTCCATCATTCTGGACAATAAGGGGAGCAGCAAGCAAGTGCTTGCTGCAGGAGACGAAACGGAAGGTGTGTGTCTGTCTGCCCGTCTGCCCGTCTGCCAGTGCTGTCTGTCTTGTCTTGTTTCGTCTTGCCTTGCTGCCGGTCTGAGTGGTAGCTTGGCTGCATTCACTGCATTCAATGCCAAACGTCCCCATCATGCCTCCTCTTTTCCCTAAAAGACTAAAATAAAAATGATTTCCCTTTTTCCTTCTAGCGGTGTCGCGTCGCGCATTCGTCCCCCCTCCCCCGGTCATTTCCATGCTTGCACTCTCGTAGCCACACTGAAAATGGGGCAGAGGCTAAACGATCAATGCTTTGGTGTCTACAGATCTAGGTCCCTCCGCATCTTCCGCCAATTCGGCGTTCTCTCCGCCATCGCCGCCGCCGCCATCCTCCACTCAGCCATTCAGCTTCAGGGTTGATTCACATTTGACTGTCCCATTGACCTCGTTTCCTACTTCGCCTCGAGTGTCGAGCTTTTCGACCGCTGATTCCCCTGGCCGGTCAATCTCCCGCAGCGTAACGCCGAACCCCCCGAACTCACTGCCCGTCCTACCCAAATACCGAGGCGCTTGGGAATCATCGACTTCATCACCGGAGAATAGAAGGGCAGAAAGCAGCGTCTACTACACAACCGCCTGGGGCTCGCCGTATGCTGCACCCAGCCCTCGGACAATTTCGTGGTCATTGAGTCAGTCCGCCGTTGCTGTTGATCGTGGTTCCGGAAATAGCTCTCCGGCCTCGATGCGCAGTGGTGTCCAACACGGTCTTGAAACGAGTAACACCGACCTTCTCAGGCCTTCTGCCCGAGACAACTCAACCCGACGCCCGTATAGCCGTCTGTTGAGCCGGTCCCCGTTCGGTAGGAAAGGAGGAAAGTCAATCAAGGATTTCACACAGGACTGGATCAATCAGTACCTCTCAGGTCAACCCAGGACTGAGCGTGGTAACTGGCTAAGTGACGATTCGGGAAGCGAGGCTCCCTCGTTCTTCACAGCGCAGAACTTCGCGGAAGACACTTCTGACGATTGGCTGGGCCTGGAACAAGACGCCCGCGACGAAGATCTTCTGAGAACTCCAACCCTCGCCGACTTCGGCAGCCGAAAAGCAGTCACCGGTCGCGGTGAAGGCAGCAGGAGAAATAAGGAGTACCAACACAAGAGAACGGATACGTTGCGGCAGGAAGACTTCTGGGGTTTCGCCTACGATAAGGATCCCCCATTGATAACCATGAATTCCACAGACATACACACCGCCGCCGGACCGTCGCAACACCAGGCTCCATCCTTATCGATAGAGAAGCCGTTGCCTCCACCCCCGGTGGACGAGGTCAGAGATGCCCCATTTAGTACGGAACACTTTCCAGAATCCATCGATTCCCCGGCTGTGAAAAGCCAGGGATCTGAGCAGAGCATTGTCCAACCGCCCGTGCAACGACAAAGGAAGAAGCTTATTTGGCGGGGGAAAGTATGCAATATCGCGCTACCGTTCGATGACAGACGAGGCACCGAGGAGTCTGGCTACCGACTTTTGACTCTCGATGATGTCGAAGAGCGATTGAGGAGCCTCAATGAACAAGGCTACGACACCCGCGGGTTCAGTGTTTGCGCATCGAATGACTCGACAGATTTGGAATTGGGTGGCCTGAGTCGCCCAATTTTTCCTGATCCAGGAGAAGTGCACGAAGAGTTTGCGTCTGGGAGTTATAGCGTCGGTATTCCTAACAAAGCCGATTGGGATGCGTATGTCGCCTTCCTCCAAGAGGAGAAACTGCGGGCTCTGGGCGTATCCTTGGGAGATGACGAGCCCAAGCCGTCCATTTCACCCGCTATGAGCCAGATGGCCTCGTTCCCTGGCTTAGTGTCCTCGCCCCCGATCCCAACAGCATCAGCCGCTAGCAATCCGTTATCCATGTCTCATCACTTCTCCCCGCAACTAAACCAACCTGGAAATCCCGCAGCTGGCTTGGGTTCGCTGGCTTCTCCGGCCTCACAATTCAGTATACAGACACCGTTTTTGGGTGTGGATCAGAACCTCATACCGCCATACTCTATGCCGTTTCAACCTACTCCGCCGGCTCAAAATTCCCTTACGCCTCAAAGTTTCTTCAACCCTCGGCAACCTGGCGCTGGTTCCACCTTGCCTGGCACGCTACCTAACCTTACCTCGATCCTGTCGCCCGTTTCGCC